AACTATTAACTATTCTGAAAATCCATTAATTTGAATATCTTTCTGTGAGACAGCAAAGTTTTTGGTGATAATAATGACAGATATCAGTATATATATATATATATTTTTTTTTCAGTATATATATATATATATTTTTTTTTTAATGTAAAAAAAAAAAAAACCCTGATAGGTAGTTAGGGACCTTTGGTTTTTTCTCTGCAGTTCATTACACTACTGTGTTTTAAATCCTTATCAAGTTTAGACCTGGATTAAACAATAGTCTCCTAATTGGTCTCTTTGGCTCTAGAGCCTCCTTTCTCCACACTTATGTGTGGTCAATCTTATTTTTTTTTTAATTCTTTTAATGCTTATTTACTTTTGAGAGAGACAGAGAGAAACAGAGACACAGCGTGAGCATGGGAGGGGCAGAGAGGGAGACAGAATCCAAAGCAAGCTCCAGGCTCTGAGCTGTCAGCACAGAGCCTGAAGCAGGGCTCGAAGGCACAAACTGTGAGATCATGACCTGAGCCTAAGTCAGAGGCTTAATGAACTGAGCCACCCAGGCGCCCCTGTGTGGTCAATCTTATTAAATCACAGCTCTTACTGAATCACTTTGTACCATAAAAATAGTGTTTGTGGACTAAACATTGGTCCATTGAATTAAAATGTAGATATGTATGCAAATGTATATGTAGATATGTATGTATGAATGTATAAAAATAGATAACTGTGTATCTACTGAACTAAGTGACACACTTCACTAAATTTATAGCCAATATTCTTAAAACAATCCATTTATCAAATAACAGTCTTTTCTTTTTCTCACTTGACAAATTTCTTGTTGAAATTACAAAGTATATGTAATTGGTTAAAGATTGCATATTTTACTATTTAGGGGATGATCTCTGGAAGATGCACAACTACACAAAAACTTATTCAAAATAACTGTTAAGATTGTATGTGTGTGTGTGTGAGACTTTTCTAAACCTTTATCATGAAATTGAGTTTGTCTCTAAACAATAAAGAAAAAAAAATAGGCAGACCAAACTGCATTTTTTTTCTCATGACAATGTAACTTACTCTCCTATTCAAAACAAAGCTGTAAACAGAGGGAAAACTGGACAAAGGTATAAAAACTTATGAAACAATTATTTTCATATTTTGGCTATCATGCAGAGCAAAACTCTGATCACTCAGAGGAGGGAGACAAATGAAAGGATTCCTACGGCAGCTGTGGATTTCTGTCTGCATGTACTTCCTAGAAAGGGAAAGGTGACCGAAAGCAGGACATGGCAATCTGCTGAGCTACAAAATGTTACCAGGTTTTGGGTAGATGGATGCAGTTGGAACTAGTGGAGTAGGTGCTGGACAGAAAGGAGAAGCATAAGAGATAGCTGAAGAACTCTGCAGAGGTCCTTCTGAATCTTGGCCAAATACTAACTTGCACATGTCAGTAATGACAAATCACGCACTGGAGGAAAATAAGAATTGTTGGAAAGCTATGAAGTGAACAATTCCCAGAACAACATAAGTTTGAGAGACATCTGAGTTTTTTATCCGGCCAGAATACAGACATTTATTTAAATTAGGAAATTAGTGGAGGCCACAGCAAGGTCATGCCACAGCATTAGGGCTAAATTTGATTACTCCTAGAAGAATTTACTAACAAGCTTTGAAAACAGTCTGCACTGCAAGTAATATAACTATCTGACAAATCAATCCAGCCCTCTTTTAAGAAAGAACACCAAACCTGAACATTCAATGATATTACATTCATAATGTCTGGCAACAGATGAAAACTAACTAAAAATGTATAGTAGATTTTTATTGCTTTCATAAGGAATTGCCATGACTTTAGTGGCTGGAACCTACACAAACCTATTATCCACAGGGCTGTAGGTCAAATTATTATAAGAGTCTCACCAGACTGAAATCAAGGCATTGACAGGCTCCATCCCTTACTAGAGGCTTTAGCCAATAGTTTGTTTCCTGCTTACTTGGATTGTTAGCAGTATCAACTCCCTGTGGCTTTAGGACTGAGACCCCTTATTTACCTTATTTACAGTCTTGCTGACAGTAACATCAGGGTCATTCCCAGCCTCAAGTAGCTATCACATTAATGGGCACATAGTCCCCTTCCTCCATCTTCAAAACCAGGAATGGAGGTACATTCTTTCTAATGTTGTATCTCCCTGACCTCAGTCATGAAGTTTTCTACTCTTAAGGACTCCTATAATTAAGCTAGGCCCACCTACATAACCTAGTATAATTTCTTCATTCCTCATTCCTCAATGTCTGTAACAATAATGGCAAAGTCCCCTTTATCATATGAAGTACCATATTCATAGATTCCAGAGATTAGAACATGAACATATTTGGGGCAAATGACAACACTATTTGTCTATCATGTCACATGAAAAAACAAAAAAAGTGAAACTTCTAACAAAAATGGAAATCAATCTCTATGTATAACCTCAGAAATGACAGAAATTCTTGATTTCTATTAAATTTAGTGACAGATAAAGATATATAAATACACAATTATAAATGTGATAAGCAATTATAAGAAAAACATCAAATAATGAGGGGATGAATTGAAGATATAAGAAAAAGATAACAAATTGAAATTACAGGGACAAATATGTAACGTGTGAAAGGGAAAACTTATTCAAATTTAACAGCAGAGTAGGTACTAGAGTAGAAAATATGAGTAAATTTGCACATGTAGTGACAAACTATCCAAACTGCGGCTCAGAAAGGTAGAAACAAAAAGCTTGAAAAAATGAACAGGATTTCAGTGACTTATGGCAGAATATCATGTGATTCAATATATGTGTATTGAAGGACACGAGAAAGAGGAAAAGCATTTAACAAAATAGCAGCTAAAGAATTTCCAAGTGAAATTTTTTTTAAAAGTTAAACTCACAGATCCAAGAAATACAAAAACTTATTCAGGGTAACAGCAACTACAATAATACAACAAAATATAGCATAGGTAAATTGTTGAAACAACAATACAACAAAGTATAGTGTAGGTACATTGTTGAAAATCAATAATGAAGAGAGATTCTTTTTAAAAATTTTTTAATGTTTATTTATTTTTGAGAGAGAGAGACAAAGCGCGAGCAGGGGAGGGACGGAGAAGGAGACAGCTGAGCTGTCAGCACAGAGCCAGATGCAGCAGGGCTCCAACCCACAAACTGTGAGATCGTGACCCTAGCCGAAGTCCGACGCTACTCGCCCGGGCTGAGTCGACTGAGCCACCCAAGCGTCCCAGTTAGTAATAAAGAGAAATTCTTAGAGACAGTCAGAAAAAACAGACTACATATAAAGAGGAATAAGGACAATGACTACAGAAACTTTCACCACAATCTATGCTAGTCAGAAATCAATGGCGAGATATCTTTAAAGTACTAAAACAAAATATACTGTCAAGTTACAATTTTTGTTTTGTTTGGTTTGGTTTTTCAGTAAAAAAAAGAAAGGAAGAGAGCTGGATTTTTCAAACATTTAGAAACTAAATAAAGTTTTACATAAATCTCAAATGCAAATTCCAAGTTCAGAGAACTCTCAAGGGAAATCAGTAAATTAGCAAATTTGAACTGAATGAACAAAACCCTCATATTTAAATCTGTGGGATACTGCTTAAACAGAAGGAAATCTATAACATTAAAAACTTACATTGGGAAAGAACTGTTTACAGTTAGAAACTTAAGCTTACAACTCAAGAAACGAGAAAAAAAATAGCAAGGTAACACCGAGTAAGCAAAAGAAGGAAATAATAAAAATCAGAAGCTAATAAATTTGAAATAGAAAAAAAAAAAAGAAAATTCTATGAAACTATAAACCAATTCTTAAAGATCAATAAAATTGATCAGGAAAAAAAGAGAACATACAAATTAATATAAAAAATTAGAAAGCTGATGTCAGTACAAACTTCACAGAGTTAATAAAACATTTAAGAAGGCATAATGGTATACGTAGAAAATTCTGGAACATGGGGGTCTTGTGGATGTGATTAAGTGTGGCACTTTGAGATGGGCTTCTCCTGTTAGCCAGGTGGGCCTAATGTGATCACCAGTATCTATAAGTGAGACAGAAGAGTCAGAGGGAGGGCGCCTGTGTGGCTCAGTCGGATAAGCACTCAACTCCGGCTCAGGTCATGATCTCACAGCTTGTGAGTCCGAACCCTGCATTGGGCTGTGTGCTGACAGCTCAGAGCCTACAGCCTGCTTTGGATTCTGTGTTTCCCTCTCTTTCTGCCCCTCCCCCGCTCATGCTCTGTCTCTTTCTGTCTCTCAAAAATCAATAAACTTTAAAAAAAAAATAAAGAAGAGTTCGAGGCAGAATGATGCAGCATCGAGAAGACTCGACTGACCATTGCTGGCTTTGAAGATTGAAGAGGGCCACAAGCCAAGGAATGTTGACAGCCTCTAGAAACTGGAAACGGCAAGAGAATGGGAGTCTAGAGCCTCAGGAAGGAATACAGATGTGCTTACAGGAATAGATTGTACTCTGGTGAGTACTCCAGTAAAACCCATTCTGGATTTCTGGCTGGGAAGAATAAGATAATAAATTTGTATGTTTTTAAGACACCATGTTTTTATTATTGTCATTTTTATTTTATTACTAGCTAGAAAGACTTTTCATTATGCAAGTGTATTTCTTCCAAGAGTTGTCCTCATGTAATCTCAAGAGTCCTAAATATTAACTCCTTTAAAAAAAAAAAACTTCGTTTTTATTTTTCATTACTGTATTACTAAAAATCCTGGGCCATGAAGAGTTTGCCCAAATTCCGGGCAGTGAACTCTTTGAGGTTCTGGCCATAGGTGTTAATCTGGCCTAAAAGGAGCACAGATTTCCTGCTGTCAGGGCCTAGGATAGTATGAAGAGTCTGCACAGATTCTCCTCAGGGAGTGGGAGTCCTCAACTCTGGCGCTGCATATTCTCCTGCTGGAGATGCTGCTGATGCTGATGTTTCTGCTGCTGCTGTTTACTTGTGTTCCTCATGGATATGTTAGATTTAACTATATTTTGGCTCATTTATCCACTCTGTCCATCAGCAACTTTAAGCTAATACTGTGGCAAGTTGTTACAATGGCAAGAAACTAATGCAGAGATATAGATTTTTGTTATAGATTTATTTACTAATGTAGAAATAGACTTTGAAAAAGTTATAATGTGTTTTGAAGATTATGTGAAAACTGAAGACATTTGGGGATATGATTTCATTTGCACTCCCCACTTTTACGACCAGGGGAAAGAATAGGGAATTAAAAAAAATGTTCTTCTTTTTGTTTCCTTTGTTTTTTTATTGTTTTGAAGAAAGGTGGATAGAGTTCATTAGAGTTTTTCTAGAAGCAAGTAGGTGTGAAAGAAATTATATGAAGGATATACTATCATAGCAACCAGAAATGATTCTTTTTTTAAATTTTTTTTTACATTTATTCATTTTTGAGAGACAGAGAGAGACAGAGCACAAGCGGGGGAGGGGTAGAGAGAGAGGGAGACACAGAATGAGAAGCAGGCTCCAGGCTCTGAGCTGTCAGCACAGAGCCCGACGCGGGGCTAGAACTCACGAGCTGTGAGATCATGAGGTGAGCCGAAGTCGGACACCTAACCAACTGAGCCACCCAGGTGCCCCCAGAAATGATTCTTAAAATGAGAAGTAAATGACTTTTTAAAACATTTTCTTTTCCTTTTTATTTTATTTTTTATTATTTTAATTCCAGTATAATTAACATACCATGTCATATTAGTTTCAGATGTATAGTATAGTGATTCAGCAATTTTGTACATTACTTATCACGATAAGTATACTCTTAAACCCGTTTTCCTAATTCACCCATTCCCCCCCCCCCCGCCGTAACTGCCAATTTGTTCTCTATACTTAAGAGTCTGTTTTTTGGTTATCTCATTGTTTCTTTCTTTCTTTGTTTTGTTCCTTAAATTCCACACATGAGTGAAATGACATGGCATTTGTCTTTCTCCAACTAATTCATTTCACTTAGCATCATACCCTCTAGATCTAGCCATGTTATTGCAAATGGCAATATCCCATTCTTTTTTATGGCTGAATAATATTTCATTCTCTCTCTTTCTTGGTAGGTAGGTAGATAGATAGATAGATAGATAGATAGATAGATAAATAGATACGGTATATCTCTATATATAGACCACACCTTTATCCATTAATCTTAATCCATTTAAGCAACGGACATGGGTTGCTTCCATAATTTGGCTATTGAAATCATACTGCAATAAACATAGGGGTGCATATATTTTTTCGCATTAGTGTTTTCTTATTCTTTGGGTAAATACCCAGTCATGGAATAACTGGATCATATGGTAATTCTATTGTTAACATTTTTGAGGAAAATACTGAGTTTTGTGGAAAACATTCTATTGTTTTCTACAATGGCTGTGTCAGTTTGCATTCCCTCCAGCAGTGCAGGAGGGTTTGCTTTTCTCCACATCCTCGCCAACACTTGTTTCTTATGTTTTTAATTTTAATTTTAATTCTGACAGGTGGGAGGTAATATCTCATTGTGTTTTTGATTTGCTCTTCTCTAATGATTAGTGATAAACATCTTTTCATTTATCTGTTGGACATATGTCCTCTGCCCATTTTTTAATTAATTTGAGTGTGTGTTTTTTTGGTTTGTTTTTTTTGGTTTGGTTTGGTTTTGGATTTTGTGTGTGTGTGTGTTGAATTGTATAAGTTCTTTATATATTTTGGATCCTAACCTATTCTTGGATATATCATTTGCAAATATCTTCTCCCATTCAGTGGGTTGTCTTTTGTTTTGTTGATTGTTTCCTTTGTTGTGCAGAAACTTTATTTTGATGTAGTTTATTTTTTGCATTTGTTTCTATTGCCTTAGGAGACACACGTAAAAAATGTTGCTACTCCCAAGGTCAGAGACATTACTGTCTATGCTCTCTTTAAGGTTTTTAAGGGTTTTAATATTTTCAGGTCTCACATTTAGGTCCTTAATCCTTTTGAGTTTATTTTTGTGTATGGTATAAGAAAGTGGTCCAGTTTCATTCTTTTACATATAGTTGTCCCATTTTCTCAGCACCATTTTTTGAAGAGTACATGACTATTCTGAGAAAAGTATACTGGAGATAAAATTGAAGGTGTTTCATAATAATATGTTCTACCAATTTATTTTGTAAATATCCCAGAGTTCAAATTTCTATTCCAGAAGCTCATCTGGAATATAACTGGTGTATATTATGAATGTAAAGGGGTAAACATTTGACTACTATTTTCTGGAGTTCTTAAAAAATAATTTTCAAGCTTCATTTTGATATTTGTAAAACATAGCATACATATTATGGGTTGAATAGATTTATGATGATGGCTTTGATGATTATTAAATTATAGAACAGTATTTTATTTAAAAAATAACAGGGAAGTTGTATTTACAAAGGCTGGCTTTAAATTCAGGTGCTTTCAATCAGCAATTTGACTTTGAGTATTTTGCAAATGTACCTAATTTGAGGGGCAGTATGGAAGTATCTTGAAGGAAATTAACCATGTGTTCCCTTTATAAAGAGTTGTTTGCACAGTAATTCAAATTAAAATATATATATATACAGTAAGATTAATTTTGTATAACTGTATACTGACATCTGCTACTTTTAATGATTTTTGTATGTCAGCAATTAAACATGCACCTCCCCCATGTTTATAGTAGTATTATTTACGATAACCAAATGATGGAAGCAGCCCAAGGGTCCATTGATAGAAGAATGGATAAAGAAGATGTGGTTGGTATATATCTACAATGGAATATTATTTAGCCATAAAAAATAATGAAATCTTGCCACTTGCAACAACATGGATGGAGCTAGAGAATAATGCTAAGCAAAACAAGTCAGTCAAAGACAAATGCCATATGATTTCACTCAATGTGTGGAATTTAAGAAACAAAACAAACTGCAAAGGAAAAACAACAGCAAAAACACAGAGAGACAACTCAAGAAACACACTCTTAACTGTAGAGAACAAACTGATGGTTACCAGAGGGGAAGTAGGTGGCAGGATGGGTGAAACAGGTAAAGAGGATTAGGAGTACACTTGATGAGCACTGAGTAATGTATAGAATGGTTGAATCACTATACTGTACACCTGAAACTAATATAACACCATACATTAACTATACTGGGGAAAAAAGAGCTGTTTCCATGTGATTTTAAAGTTTTGGCACTTTTTTTTTCTTTCCAACTCAGCTAACAAACTATGAGCCTAATCCATACAAGGAAGGATAAAGGTTTGCATAAACAGATCTTATCAGTTTGTTGGTTGGATTTCTTTAGTAGGACAAGAATATTTTATTTCACTGCAAAGTGCAGTATTATTGCCTAAAAAATGAAGGCTGTTTTTAAAATAATTCAACTCCATGCAAATGGCTAAAGCCTTCAGAAAATATTGGAACATGAGAGTTTGCCTTAAAAATGTTGGGATATTGTCAGTTGATGAAGGTAAATGAATATCCTAGATGATTACAAATACCACTTTGTGTTTAGTGTAACATTATCAGTTACATAAATCATCATTGCTATGCAAAGCAGATTGAATAAAGCAAGTGCCATTACATATTTTTGCTTTACATCATTAGTAATGGGAAATGAATTTGACATGATGTCTTTAATTCCATATTAAGTTGACCATGCATTCAATATGACAATTTATATATGTAGATAAACTCCTTGAGTTTAATAAACTTAAAATATTGCAATTTTGATCTGAACTTATATTGTTCACAAAAGACAGCATAATGTAAATTATCTGAGCCCAAACTCTACTTTGACTTTAAATTAAGCAAATTCAAACCTCATTAATTTGATCATATTCCTTAAGATACTATTAAATTATTTCTTTGGTAATATAAACTTTACTCTGACTAGCCAGATGGAAATTTCCTCTAAGTATAGGATTCAAAAACAATGAGATTTTAGACAGTGTGTAAATTTGGTCTTCAACTGAAAACCTTTTTTCTTCTGTCTGAATTAAATGGAATCAGCATTATCTGTAGAAGCTTAAGGTCAACCTTCTATATTGGAATACATGAGAGACACAGAGAATGTCCCAAATGTTTGCCTTAATTTATCTATTTGTTTCCATCTGATGCCAAAAATTTTACCACTGAGGTTTCATTGTTTTATTAGAGGATGGAATTTCTATTAAAATGCCAGTATAAACTTTCAAATATTTCTTCATTTAAGTTTTAATATAGATGAATTTATGTAAATCTTTCTAATTAACCACTGCATTAAACAAATTTTGACAAGAATGTTGAGAATATAGGACAAAGAGAACAGATTTATGAGAAACCGTGAACTGCAAGATTTCTGAAGACCTGAATCATATTATGAGCATTTAAAAAGTGAATAACTTGGGGATCCTGGGTAGCTCAGTAGGTTACGTGTCTGACTTCAGCTCAGGTAATGATCTCACGGTTCTTGAGTTTGAGCCCCACATCGGGTTCTGTGCTGACAGCTGGGAGCCTGGAGCCTGCTTCAGATTCTGTGTCTCCTTCACTCTTTGCCTCTCCCCTGCTCATGCTCCAACTCTCTTTCTCTCAAAAATAAACAGACATTAAACATTTTTTATGTGAATAACTTTGGATAATATCTCCCTATGGTTATTGGCAATGTATTTTCGTGTCTGGCCAAAGAACCAATGTTATTTCATAATATTGCATGCTTTTGAATATTACTACCATTTCTAAAGCAGTATCTATGACAGACATCAACAGTATTTCTCCAGTATCCCTAGTCCTTTCTTTTTAAAATAAAGTACCCCATTACATGGACATAATGATGCATAGATAGTGGAAAACACCTACAGCAATTACACAAAAGATGAAGAGAAAGGGATTAAAGCAAACCACTACAAAAAGTAAATCACAAAGGAAGACAGTAAGAGAGGAGGGGAAAAAATGAACTACAAAAAATACACAAAAGCAAATAAAGAAATGGCAATAGTAAGTCAAATCCTCACCTATCAATAATTGCTTTAAATGTAAGAAACTACATTTTCCAATCAAAATGCAAAAAGTAGTTGAATGAATTAAAGAACAATATCCAACAAAATGCTATATACAAGAGATTCATTTTAGCTTTAAGGATGTGAAAGTATTCCATGAAAATAGTAACCAAGAGAGGAGTTGCTATATTTATATCAAATAAAATAGATTTTCAATCAAATTTAGTTATAAGAGACAAGGCATTATACAATGATAAAGTGGTCAATTCATCAAAAGGATATAATAATGGAATATATCTATATAGATATATAGATATAGGTATAGATATAGATATCCATCTATAATTGGAGCGCCTAAATATTTACAAGAAATATTAACAAAACTTAAGGAGAAATAGACAGCGATACAATAATACTAAGGAACTTAATACCCCACTTTCAACATTGGCTAGATCATCCAGAAAGAAAGTTAATAAGAAAACAGTATATCTAAATAACTCTATAGATCAAATGGACCTAACAGACATATATAGAGCATGCCATCCTACAGTACCAGAATATACATTCTTCTCAATAGCACATGAAACATTATTTTGTAAATATGTCACATGTTGGGTCACAAAGCAAGCCATGATCAATTTATGAATATTGAAATTACAGCTAGTATCTTTTCTGACCACAGTGGTATGAAACTAGAAATTAATAATGTATGGAAAACTGAAAACTTCACAAACAAGTGATTGTCGAACACCACAATCCTGAACAACCAATGGGTGAACATAGAAATCAAAAGTTAAATCAGAAAGTGAGACTCTTAAAAACTGAGAACAAACTGAGGGTTGATGGGGGGTGGGAGGGAGGGGAGGGTGGGTGGTGGGTATTGAGGAGGGCCCTGTAGGGATGAGCACTGGGTGTTGTATGGAAACCAATTTGACAATAAATTTCATATATTGAAAAAAAAAGAAAAAAAAAGAAAGTATCTTGACATAAAACAACAACAACAAAAGGAAGTATCTAGAGATAAATTAAATGAAAACACAACATATCAAAAATTAAGAGATGCAGCAAAAGCAACTCTAAAAGGGAAGTTTAGGGGCACCTGAGTGACTGAGTCAGTTAAGTGTCTGACTCTTGATTTCAGCTCAGGTCACAATCTCATGGTTTGTGAGTTTGAGCCCTGCCTCAGGCTCTGCGCTGACAGTGTGGAGCCTGGGTGGGATTCTCTCTCTCTCTCCCTCTCTCTCTGCCCCTTCCCCACTCACACACACTCTCTCTTTCTATTTCTCTCTTAAAAATGAATAAATAAACTTGGAAATAAATTTGGAAATGCTAGAAATACAGAGGATGGGAATGTATCTCAAACTGATTATGGTGACTGATATTACATTTGTTTCTAAATTTTATTTAATGTTTTTTAAATTTATTAAACATGGGTCACCTCATATTTAAAGCACCTTAGAACTATTAGACTGATGCTTTTTTCCTTATTAATAATAGCATTTGCTAAAATGCACCAACCTAAACAAAGATTATCCCATACTTACTGATATTTTCCTTTAAAAAGTTGGGATATTTTATATTCAGTAATATGTTGGCCAGGAACATTTCCTAAAGGTGGATAAACTATTTACCACTAAAAGTTACTTGATTAGGTGAAAAATAAATTGACTATAATAGGAATGAAGAAATTATGTTAGACATCAGACTAAAATGTGCTCAATCTTCCTCAATGTATTATTCTCTATGTGATATAACATAGGTCTGGAAGACTGTTCCTGGAGAATACATGCCAATAAGCAAATCTCCAAAGGATTTCATAGCTGAATACTTTACCTCAAAATTCTCAAACTGTCCTCCAAAGAAGACATCCGGATATCTAACAGACACATGAAAAGATGCTCAACATCGCTCATCATCAGGGAAATACAAATCAAAACTACACTGAGATACCAACTCACGCTGGTCAGAGTGGCTAAAATTAGCAACTCAGGAAACAACAGATGTTGGTGAGGATGTGGAGTAAGGGGAACTGTCGTGCACTGTTGGTGGGAATGCAATCTGGTGCATCCTTTCTGGAAAACAGTGTTGAGGTTCCTCAAAAAAATTAAAGATAGAATTACCCTATGATCCAGCAATAACACTATTAGTTATCCAAAGGATACAGGAGTGCTGATTCATAGGGGCACATGTACCCCATTGTTTATAGCAGTGTTATCAACAATAGCCAAATTATGGAAAGAGCCCAAATGTCCATCAACTGATGAATGGATAAAGAAGATGTGGTTATATACACAATGGAATACTACTTGACAATGAGAAAGAATGAAATCTTGATATTTGCAACAATGTGGGTGAAACTGGAGGGTATTATACAAGAGCACACTATATACATTGTATGTTAGCTAACCTGACAATAATAAATTTATATCATTATATAATATATATTATATTATATTATATTATATTATATTATATTATATTATATATTATTACATATAAGATGTCCTATTATGCTTTTCTTTTTTCAATCCTTTAATTAATTATGTCATTTTGTTGTCAAATATATATGTATATATATATACACATATATACATTTATTTATTTATTTATTGTCAAGTTAGCTAACATACAGTGTAATCTTGGCTTCAGGAGTAGCTTCCCATGATTCATCACTTACATACAAGACCCAGTGCTCATCCCAACAAGTAGCCTCCTCAATGCCCATCACCCATTTTCCCCAGCCCCATCAACTCTCAGGTTTTTCTCTGTATTTAAGAGTCTCTTATGGTTTGCGTCCCTCTCTGTATCTTATTTTTCCTTCCTTTCTCCTATGGTGTCTTTAAGTTTCCCAAATTCCACATATGAGTGAAAATATATGATATTTGTCTTTCTCTGACCGACTTATTTCCCTTATCATAATATCCTCCAGTTCCATCCATGTTGTTGCAAATGGCAAGATTTCATTCATTTCCATTGTCGAATTGTATTCCATTATATACAGCCCCTATCATGGGGAGTCTGGGTGGCTTAGTCGGTTAAGCATTTGACTTTGGCTCAGGTCATGATATCACGGTTTGTGGATTTGAGTCCTGCATCAATCTCTGTGCTGACAGCCTGGAGCCTGCTTCAGATTCTGTCTCCTTCTCTCTATGTTCCTCCTCAACTTGCTTTCTGTCTCTCTCTCAAAAATAATAAACGTTTTTTTTTTTAATTTTTTTTTTCAACGTTTATTTATTTTTGGGACAGAGAGAGACAGAGCATGAACGGGGGAGGGGCAGAGAGAGAGGGAGACACAGAATCGGAAACAGGCTCCAGGCTCTGAGCCATCAGCCCAGAGCCTGACGCGGGGCTCGAACTCACAGACCGCGAGATCGTGACCTGGCTGAAGTCGGACGCCCAACCGACTGCGCCACCCAGGCCCCCCAAAAATAATAAACGTTTTCAAAAAATCTAAAAATGTATTTAAAATAAATACCCTATTCATTAATGTAACATTAATTTAAATATCAATATTATTAATTTGGTGAGAAATTGTTTACATCATAAATAATAAAGTCAGTAATTGCTAAATTGTAAGTGTATAAAATTGATGTGTAAATAATGAAGAAAATCCTTGATTAATTGATTCCAGATCTCATACTCTTATCCAGTTATTTTTATTCACATTCTGAAGCAAGTCAGGCTCATACTGATAAATGTTAAAGAATAAACTAGAGCTCTATTGACAATTATTAAATTGACATTTTCTCTATGCCAGAAAATTCAACTATTACAACAAATAAACTAAGACTTCTTGAATCTGTGATCAACACAAGATGGCCCAAAGAAAATGGCCCTTATTTTTCCCCAAAAGTATCTAACAACATCCAAGCCCACCAAAAGGCACTTTTTTTTTAAAGTAGGGACATCCTGAATTTTATTTAACACCAAAGTAACTTATCTTGGACAAGAAATATCTCCTTTTTCAGGTTAACTTGATCTCAGGAACAAGCTGAGCTATAATAGTGCTACCAACCCTGTGTTCTCCCTTTTATTCCTCCATCGTCTGGCTCTCATTTATGCCCTGCCAGGAATTTCTTTTTCGAATACATTATTCTCTCTTTTCCTGATCTGTGTCTCCTCTCTTCTTTCTTGCATTAGCCTCTCTAGAGAAATGATTCCAACAGCCAGCCCTGAAAATGTCTAATGGCTAAAGTAGTTTTTGTGTACTAAATGGCTGAAGTGGTTATTTGGTGGAAGCATTTAAATCCCATCTGCTGGGAATAAATAGATTCATAGAATTGTATTTTGTGCAGATAAGACTTTATTTCTAGTTTTCTATGTAAATTTAAAGAAGCAAAGTCTGTAAACTAAATGTAAGTTGATGCAGATTCTTAACATTGAATTGCTGCATGTTGAAATATATTCGAGGATGGAAATCCATAAAAGACTATTTTTTTTAATGTTTTTTTACTCAATAGCTGACTAGCTATCAAGGGGAAAAAAAGTATATTAAAAGCCAAGTATGAGCTCAGGGATGGTTTCAATTGAGTTCACAATTGAAAATGCAGAAATTATATATGCAGGTTTTAAGAAATACTGTCTTCATTCATGAATTTGATATTTCTGGCATTAAAATATTTAAAGAAAGTGATTTAAATGATTTAGTATTTCTATAGTTGTCAAATTGAAAAACAAAATTATATTACTGATATTCCTTCAACCTGCCTAACTTTTTAAAAATGGTTAAAACCAATTCATTACATGGTGATGAAAACTGTAATTCTTATTTTATCCAAAATATAAAAAGAACTGTTAAAATTCAATAATTAGAAAACAAACAACCTGATTTAGAAAATGGGCAATGACCTTTTATTTGCAAATAAGCATATTAAAAGATGCTCCACATCATAAGTCATGAGGGAAATAACAGTTAAAAGAACTAGGTACCACTACAAACATATTAGAATGCTCTATATCTGAATACTGACAACACCAAATACTGAGGAGGTTATAGAGGTATAGGGGCTTTCATTCATTGCTAGTGGGAATGCGAAATGGTATAGCCACTTTGGAAGACAGTTTGGCAGTTTCTTACAAAACCAAACATACTCTTACCATACAATCCAGCAATCAAGCTCCTTGGTGTTACCCAAATGAGTTGAAAATTTATGTTCACAGAAAACAAACAAAACAAAACAAAACAAAACAAAAAACTCAAAAAGCAAAACACCTGCACATGGGTGTTTATAACAGCTTTATTTAATGAAAAGACTTAGACATAACCAAGATATCCTACAGTAGGTGAATGGATAAATAAACTGTGATACATTCAGACAAGGGAATACTATTCGGTGCTAAAATGAATGACTTTATAAAGTTATAAAAAGACATGGGTGGAAACTTAAATGCATATTACTGAGTGAAAAAAGCCAATCTGAAAAGGGTACATAATGCATGATTCAAACTAATATTATAGGAAAGGCAAAACTGTGGAGACAATAAAAAAGATCAGTAGTTACAGGCGATCTGAGAACAGATGAATAGAGAGAGCAAAGAAGATTTTAGGACAGTGGAGAAACTGTAGGATGCCATAATGATGGATATATCATTATACATTTGCCCAAATACACTGAATGTATAACAATAAGTGAATTGTAATGTAAACTATGGACTTAGGGTTAGTATTAATATATGTTCATCAATTGTTGACAGCGGGGAATGTTATGCAGGGGATATTGGGAAATCTCTGTATTCACCCCTCAATTTTGCTGTGGACTTTAAACTGTCCTAACAAACTAAAATCTTAATTAAAAACTGTGGTTTGCACGTAGAAAAAAGTATAACCTTACATCTAATATACTATCTTAAATAATAAGAAATTTATGTAGATATAACTTACATGCCTTAAAGGAATTTTTATGCCACTTTTATAATATCAAAAATAGAAAAAAATATATAAATGTTAATACTACAGAATGACATTTAAAATATTTTATATTAATAAAACATATTACTTTACAATCATTAAAAATCTGTCTGGTGACAGATGGTGACTACACTTTAGGTGAGCACTGAGTAATACATAGAATTTTTGAATCAGTATGTTGTACACCGAGGATTAATATAGCATTGTACATTAATTATACATCAATTTTTAAAAAAGGTATTGTTTTAAATTTTTGAGGACTTGGCACAACTCTTCCTGAAAAATTTAAAAAAATAAGCATCAAATTTTACGTAGTCAGATGTACTTTTATGTACTTTTGCATACATGCACTCTTGTATGTATACACTTGTGCATATTTTCAAATGTTTACATATTGCATATATGTTACTTTTATAATTTTAATACATATTAAGAGTGCTGTAATTATCAAAAATTCCAAAGAAAAATATTTTGTAGATTACTCCCAATTTAAAACATTATAGTCAATCTAAAATAAATGTATTATATTTTCTTAAAGCAGATGCATTAATCCATTTATTCAAAGGCATACTGCATATATTACCAGTATTCAAAACACCAAGAGGGTCAAAGAGAAGGATAAGGAGCCACATATCACCGACAACAGCAATCACTCTCCTCTGCCTTCCCAAAACACACACCATGCTCACAATCTCCACCAGAATAATGTTGAATAATGTTTTAGGAAAAACAAATATGAATATTAATATCTGGAGATTTACATTTATATTTTAGTGTCTTGGTTTAGGGTTTTAATCTAAATTCATGCATTATATTCTCTACTACAGCATAATATAATATAATATAATATAATATAATATAATATAATATGTAATAAATGAGTAACTTATTTTAAAAATAAAAGTAATTAAAAGTTGTTATTCAAACAGTATTATTTAGGGTTGACTAAACAATATCCTGTGCTGTTCTAGAGAATTCACCATTTTTCCACATGTAATCTCTGTCTTAATAAAGTCAGATATATGAAAATCTGAATTAAAAAACCTAAAAGAGGCATACTAATTATTTCAAAGAAGGTTTCTGGTGGCAATTTTACAGGTGGTATCTGTTTATTTGTAGCCTATTAAGCACTGTCAGTGAAATTCATGAACATATTAGGTACTCTTTTAATTGGAAACTAACCAAGTACCAATACAACCATCTATAAAATTTAAATTCCAGATTTGACTGAAAAGAATTTTGTTTATGAAACAATTTGGCACAATTTTTTTTGGAATCCTCTTATTGTATAGACTAAAATTTTAAAATATATCAATATGGAATCTACATACGTAATAAATGAATATAGAATAGTCATTTAATTTTAATTTTGCTATTTCTCACAGAAGAGTTATTTGATATTTTGTGTTATAAAATCCAATTGAGTCTCCTCAGTACAATGTGTGAGAATAACCATGGGTTAATGAAGGAATTGA